ATTTAATGGTGCAACACATGTATAAACATACCAATTTACTTATTTTAAAACATGCAGTTTTTCTTAGATAAGTTCTCAAGGATAAATGCGGGATACAAAGCAACTTTTATTATTGTGTGGTCAGTAACCTTAAGTTGTGAAAGTAAGCACAATAAACAATGCTTCTTATCAGAACGATGTTTGATTGGTCATCTGAAACGATGGATCGTCCACCTTCATGGGTCAATGATAACCAATACAAACTACCAATTTAGTCAGTGAACTTATCTGTTCAACCAATGTAAAATTTGCTGGTTGATCTAATCATGCCCGTTTTTTGACATTATCACTATCATCATATATCTGTAGACATTTTAATCAACTGAAAAATTTTAATATATTGACTGATCTGATCGAATTTGATTTGTGGATACTTCTATCTTCGCTATTCACTATAATCGAAGACCGTCGGCTATTTTTCGTCATTTATCAGGACAATTATCTCCCTTAAATGCCTCAACCAACACAATTACATCGTAATAATAGTTAATTAAGATATTCAAATTAAATCAAATCAAATGAAAGTCTGACTTGCTCCTAGTTGTGTTGGACAAAATGGGCAACACTAGTAGGTTATTGTAGGACTTTTATTTCATATCAAATATTAGAATTTAGATGTTATATTGCAGAAAAAGAAGGGCAAACAAAAAACTCCACTTCATTTCATAGTTGTTGTTTTTTTTATTGGATAAACAAAAAATATTTTGATAAGATTAGGGAATAGGCTTCCTTTTATCGATTGTCGCCCTTGTTTGTACATATATCATTCAGCTTCTTCAGGATCAAGGTATATATTTGATCCTATTGTGTTTGAATTAAGACAAATTACTGATATCAGTATCATTTGAATAGTTTGACAACTCAATGTCATCTTCACACTGTTTCATAAGCTTAAGGTGGAAAACAACCTAGTTTACGCTTAACCAAGCATGATTAGAAAAATAGCCATTTGAAGAAACATAGAGAGATAGATGGATTATGGTATTTTTTTGGAGGATTAATGAAAAATATGACACGATGCGAGGATAATAAGAATGTGAAAGGACTATGCAATTAGTTTTAGGCGATCAACCTCGAGGTCACGTTCAACAGTTGTAAATGTAGCTTTAAATCCCACACAGGTAAACCGAGCCGCTGATCAGCCTTCTGACGTAGAGGGTTACATATTTGTCCGAATAGGTCACCGACACTTTTAAATCGAGGTGTAAACATCGGGTTGTATAACAAGAATTAACGAATAAAGGTATTGAATACGGACGTAATGATATTTGATCTTATTAATAAGATAATATGCTTAGATGGACACATACAGTGTGAAAATAAATACACTGTAAAGATAAATGAAGAGTAATAGTTGGTATTGTGACCACTAATGGACTTTTACCAAACATATAGTACCTGAGCCAGGTTTACGTCCTAGAGGAGGGATGGGGCGAATATCCCTTTGGGCTCCGCCACTGCAAACATACAAATATTACTATCTTCACACATTAAAATTTCACAACGAACAAACTTATAGTCTCAATACGACTTTGCATTGATTAAACTATAGAGTTGAACCCACATAAAAACTTAAAATGTGCTTTTACAGAGGACACTTTTTGAGGACATATTTGAATGCAATTTCTGAAAGGAAAGTGTTTTCCTATTCAATGTCAACTTACAAAAATCCATTTGAGTTTATTTATTGATAATCTTTCAATTAAAATTGGTTTACAAAGGAATTGTAAGGATGTGAAATTTCGAAACATCAATAACGGTGTACAGCAGGGCGTTATATTAGGACCTATTTTATTGCACTTATTAATTGATGAACTTTTTGGTGAATATTTTTTAACATTGACTTCATTGCTTGTGTGTTTATGAGAACTCATTACGGTACACCACACGGATCTGTGCTGACACCAGTTTCTAATCTATTAGACTGTTAATAACCACTGACTCCTTCATTCTCTGTAACCAAACGGTGTGAACGTCAATGAGGCGAGAGGCTATTTGTAGATCTTTTAACCAAGGTTACTGGATCGTTAAGCCACCCAAAAACTCATTCAGTGATCATTACTGACCATAAAAACGACATTTAAGAGACTCACTTTTCCTATTGAGAAACCATATTTTCTCATACGGTGGGGTGTGGGCCCGTGGACGTGTTTCAACCAGTCCCTATGGTAGTGAGTCCACTGATGAAATTTCAGAATGCCAATAAGGGTGTACTGCAGGGATCTGTTTAATGACCTATTTTATTTCACTTATCTATTGATGAACTCATTGATGAATATAATTACTTTTCTCGGGTTTTTAACTCTGACTTCAGTGCTTGTTTCTTTCTGAGCATCAAGGATCTGTGCTGACACCAGTTTCGTTCTATTAACTGCCAATAACCATTGACTCTTTCTTTCTCTGTGACCAAACGATGTGAACGTCAATGGGGTGAGGAGCTATTTGTGGGTCTTCAATTTTAACCGTTCAAAACTAATTCAGTGACCATTACTGACCATTAAACGGCATTTAAAGGACTCGAGGTCACCTTTCATATTAAGAAACCAATTTTTCTTATATTAAGGGATCAATAAGTCCTTCCGAGACTTATCTTTTATTGTCATCACAGATGAAAACATAACCCCCACCCAACTCGTTGTTTTTGAGATGAAAACAATGAGCTACTATTGAACAAAAATCTGTGTCCCAATAGAACTTGCATGGTGATAGTTGTCTAAAGGGACCGAACTCTTTTCCAAGCTAAGACCACAATGAAAAATTCTCATTATATAGGTCGGTCCCATACTGATTTGAAGGATTGATCCCATCTAAAATTTAAATAGAAGTGTATAATATGTTGTAATTTTACATCTTCATTCAATTAATTATTTTTTTTTAAAACCTACGGCTACATTTCCGAGAAAAAAAAGTCACAAAAAGAAGCATATATATCTGCATTTTAATCAAATTATCAATATATTGACAGGGGAATCTGCAATTTTGAAATTAGTCACTGTTTATAATGCGTACCCCCACTTTGGCTTTGGCTAGCCCCTTTATTGTAAAAAATCTGCGCATTATACACGCAAATATACGGTACTTTAAACAACGTTTCAAAGCTTTTATTTCCTTGGGCAGACATGTCAATCAGCAGTACCGTACAGCTAACAATGTGTAGTATGTATTATTTATTTCATTAAGTAATCGATGGTTGTTTAAACTTCATTTGCCGTAATCAAAAAACTGTTCATTTAAATGCCTTATTGCCCGTATATACTGTCTTATATTTCAAAGATATCGCTAGGAGGTTTCAAAGACTTTTTAAGAGATTTTGGGATAATGATAGCAACATTCCAATTGTCAGTCTACTGATATATCTCGGAGCATTAAATATCACAACCCCTTTAAGACTTTTTGTCTATGTCTGCAGTTTTCTAACCTGTATCAGCTGTTGAAGCCAGGTGGAGGTTTTACCCTATTGTCAACAGAAGTCTTTTCAAATTGTTTAAAGCCAGGCGGTGGACGTTTAGCACTAGTTATATCACTATTATTATTATTGTTATTATTGAAAGACATTGGTTTTGATTCAGAGTTTTGTGCGTTTTCACTTTTCACAGAGGTAGAAGAATCACTGACTGACGATGGTTTTTCACTGTATGAACTTTGACCTCTCCCTCTCCCCCTTCCCCGACCCCTTCCTCGTCCACGATGGTCTCTGTTAGTTTCTACACTATTTGAATTATTTTTATCCCCATTTCTATTTGGTTCTTTATCTGGACCATTTCTATTATGACCTTGGCCTTTACCATAGTTACCGCGACGACCACGCCCTCTACCTCTTGCAGAGAATGACCTACTTCCTTCAGCCATTTCCTTTGGTGTCACATCATCATTGGACATTTTCGACTGACTTTCATCAGATTTTTCCGATTGTTTTTGTCTCTGTGGGATTGTGTCCCTTTGACTAGCTCTATCACTGTCATCAGTGCCTCCACTTGAATCTTTAAATACGGTGTCGTCTCTTGGTGATTCCTTTCTAGTTTCTTTATCATGGTGAGGCCTCTGCTTGCCACTCCTTCTTTCATCTCTGTAGCTATGCTTGCTGCCATTCCTATCATGTCTGTCTCTGTAGCCTTGTTGAGAGTTCCTATCATCTCTGTCATTCTTGTCTCTGTAGTTTTGCCTGTCATACCCATCATTCATGTAATATCTAACCTCTTCCCTATGTTTTCCATCATATTCATACCTGGGGCTCTGCTTTCCATTCCTATCATCCCCGTATCTTTGCCTGTCTTTCCTATCATCCCTGTGCCTTTGCCTATCGTTCCCATCATCCCTGTAATATTTATCCTCATTACTTTGCTGTTCACTCCTTTTGTAACCCCCTCTGTCACTCTTATCATCCCTGAAATATTTATCCCTGTAGCTTTGTTTAAAGTTCTCATCATCCCTGTAGTACTTATCTCTGTAGCTCTGCTTTCCGTTCCTATCATCCCTGTTGCTATGCCTGTCGTTCCTATCATCCCTGTTGCTATGCCTGTCGCTCCTATCATCCCTATGCCTGTGCCTGTCGTTCCCATCATTCCTGTAATATTTGTCTCTGTAAGAATGATGAGGTTTGTCTTGCGGATGCCTGGATCTGGAATCATAAAATCTTCTGTCTTTAGAAGAGGTAGGCATTGTTATTTTCTTGGTATCTAAATCTGTTTTTGCACCATCCACTACATCTTGGCTGGTTTCTTCAGTATTTGGTAAATCCAACACTGTGTCCTAAAACAAAATTTAGTAGTATGTAAAACTCCATTCATTTCATTTATATAAACAAAATTAAAAACTCAATAAGATAAAAGTAGGCTTTCAGAACAGAGTAAGAAACTTTACAGATGGATGATATACATTTTGCTGTTTGATTTGGGCATCTAGCGATTTTCTAACAGGGTTACCCTGGTCAGCTAAAAAAGAGCCTCACACGAACAAATCAACTATAGTAGTAGGTAAAACAAGAGTCTAGAGTATAATATTAAAATTACCTCATTTATAAGAAATTTATTCTTTTCAAAATCGAGGTCAATAATTCCACCATTTTCTTGTTGTTTGATATACAAATCTCTCATCTTTCCTACTGCCTGTCTGATAGACTCAGATATTTCAAATGTTGGGGTGTCTTCTATAGGGGGTGGGGCATCACACAGTTCGTTCAGGTTATAGTCTATAGGTGTTCTACAAACTGGACAACACACCTGTAATAATAAACAAATAACCAGACCTCAAAATGTGTCTAAATCGAGGACAATCCTGAGTGTTTCTGGCAAAAGCAGTCTAAGAGGGTCCTAATATTATAGGGTCTACTCAAAGTTTAAATACAATGTCCCTGTTCTGTTGAATAATCACATGCAAATATTAATTTTACCTGTCACAGGCATTGGGCAGTAGACTACTTAATCTTATCTTGTATCTTATTAATGCGTTTGTGTCAATCCAATAAAACCTGAGTTAACACAAGTCTCAACACACATCAGGTTGGACACTTACGTGAAATATTGGGCCTTTAGATCACACTGAGCCCAGAATTGAATTTCATCTGTCATGGCACAATTATTCAAAATAAAATTTTCAATGGCATGAGTGACATTGTAAACATCGACAGTCAGACAGTAGATTATTAATAGTCCTACCTCATTATCCGACTCCTCTTCCTTATCATCTTTCTGTTTAGATAGAACATGTTTAACATAACGTCCCAGACAATGTTGATGGTAATAATGATAACAGCTAGTCTTTGTGAATACATCACCCTCGTGAAAATGTTCCAGACAAATACAACACTCACATCGTGGTATATTTCCTTCCGTTAAACTTTCTTTAGCTAGCTAGAAAAGATGAAACGATCTTTGAAATTGAAGAAGCTTACACAAAAATTTGTTGATTCTACGCTCAATTTCTGCTATCCATTACACTTTTGAGAATAAAAAAGTCACATTGAAATCAAATCACGTGTGATTAAAGATAAACAGCTGGTCAATAAATATATAATAACAGCTACATTCCCTTAGATCTATAAAACTTACATACCTCAATAAGTTCAAATAACATTGGTTCACCTTTTCTGTCTTCAGCCAATTGTATAACATCATCATGGATACTGGAAAGAGCAAGTAAATCAAGAAATGGAGTAAGTGAACACACAGGAAAACTGTCATTTCTTCACCCAAATTCAGCATGAGTTACATCCCTTGAAAAATTGGTGGTGCCAAGATCATTGCTTTTGAAGGCACAAATACCAGTTAAAAGGGTTATATAGTAGGTTGAAAGCCTGTACCCAAATTTTTTTCATATCTTTGTAAATAAAATACTGCTTCTCACATTACTTAGATTTAAAACAAAGTAACTGGTTTAATTTATGTGACTTTTTACACTATGTTCTGGTTTAATATAAAGGAAAACAACTGAATCTAAGTGTGAAGTGCTCAAAATGGTACTGATTTATATTATATTTCAACATACGGAGCTACTATGTGTAGATCTGGCTATACTTTAGATAAAACCTACAGAAAAATTTATGGTTTGTATAAAAATGTATGAGTGTACAATGTACATGAATTAAATTGTTGATACCTTTTAACTTCTTCTTCTGCCAGCCCTCTAGGATTACGAATAGTAATATCAGGTACATCATGTGGATACTATAAACATAAATGACAAAATAACAAGGTCTGCAAGTGAGTACTAGTTCCAACTGAGCACAAATTTATAAATTCTTATTGAACTATGTTTATCATTTAAGTAAACAACAGTAATTCTTCTTTGACAAAAACTTTAATTGAGTGTAATGGATAGAAACAGTATTTTTTGCTACGAAAATTTCAAAATATAGCTGACAAGTTTACAAACGCATCTTTTTAATTGTTGATATCTTGTGGATATAGGTTATATGTATTATAGAAGATACTTTTCTATACACGCACTTACCTAGGTTACAAGTAGAGACTAGGAATTTCAGCATGAGAAAGAGAAATGTATGTATAAAAATCATTACTGCTGAAGAGATTTACAAGATAAGCAAACAGTCTATAACACAATGATAAAAAGTTTAGCACCGGATAAAAATTGGGACCAAATTTTCCAAAATGATCTAATGTGATACAGAGAAAGACCTAAATGTGTGGGAAAATGAACTACCAATGATAACTTTGATACAATATTTACTTACTGAAGGTGGTATATCACAGACTAATGTTAGACAGACATATTGTACACTAGTATCTTCACATGTTGAAGGATGTAATATCACTCGGATTGTCTTCACTTTCTCACTGAAACATTTTTTCAATTTCTCAATAATCAATTTTAACAAAACTAAGGAAAGAGATCACCTGAATCATAATGAGATTATCTTAGGATTATTCTCACTGTTGACTTCCTCTGAGTGCTAAAACAATCTATAGGCCTATTTAAATGTAAAAAATTTATCACAAATTTTCAATTAAAAAAAAACTGTAAGCTGAGCTGCTAAATAATAAAGATTTTACAATGAAAATGAAATACCTCTCATCATACTCTACATCTAATTCATCTATATAAATATGATTTAAAACTTCAATTTCTTCATTTATTTCACTGAAAAGAAAACATTAGAAAGGTTGTTGGGGGTCTCGAAGCTTGTTGCCTCATGCATCTGCTTCAGTATTTAGGCTGACTGATAATGCCAAGGTATAAGTACTCTTAACATCATAACTGATTTAAGATTGAGATGAAGAATATAACAATATTTCTAGATGTTCTGGGCATAAGAGCTTTAGCGATTGGAATTCCGGGATTCATTTTAGATCTACATATTGTGGGTGATATATTTGGTCATTTTGACTTTTTGGTACCTAACATTATATAATCAGTCAGATTAAAAAAAAATTGTAAAATTTTATATTATACAAGTTCAATGTTCCTTTTTCTGCGGATGAAAACGAAAAACTTTGTAAACTGTACTATTATACGAGTAATTGGTTGAATAGGTCGGAGTACTCAAATTGTTATACAAGATTTAAATTTTCAAAGTATGAAAACCATGTATATCGGTAAAAAACAGTAACAGTGTCCACAACGTCAACAGCTGCTATGCTACATCGTACATGATGAGTGGAAAGGGACTATATTATAAGATTCTCTAAGGATAACGAAGTCAAAACTTTCCTGAAAGAAATAAATAAAACGTAATGATTCTTTATCTGTCTACCATTAAAGTAAACTAAAAGTACAGAAATCGCTTAGAGAAAAGAAAATATTTAACCTGTCAAATGAAATCGACTCACTGCGCGCAGCCATGTTTGAGGAAAGAGGTGAATGCAATATTAGATCTGATTGGTTAAAAAAGGAAAAGAAATATTATTCTTCCTTAGTTATTTTCTAATATTCTAATTCTTGATCCATCTTACATTAGTTATCATTGATAAGGGAAATGAAATAAATCAATTTTAACATTATTCTATAAAAAGTCAATTTTAAATCCGCAGCCAATGTTTACAATATGGACGAAAATAGAGCAGCACAAAATCCAAATGACATTTACAACTACGCTGTTGATTCTCCTGGACAGTATGTGACTCTTTGTACCTTGCAAATTCGTTAGTTTAGAATACTTATTAAATCGGCCCTTATTTACGATTATTGCATTGATTATAACGATCCTGTTTTAATATCCGTCTTCATAAGGCTGGCTGTTCTTGCAAAATTGCACACTGCATGGCGTTGCCCGTTTTGGTTAGCCCAATCAAATGCTGAAAAATAGCACATAACACTATTTCATTAGTGCTCCACCTGGAACAAAAAAATATGATGCAACACTTCATATCATTTGTTGCCTTTACTCCCAGAATTAGCCATTGCCTTAGGCTTAGGCCAAGTTCAGTATGAGATTCATTGGCAATCAAGACAATAACTTGAGTGGTGAGTGCATGTCGAATTGATGATTGTGAAATAAGTTAGTCTACATTAATCCTAATGACTTAATTAGTAGCCTAACAGTGTCAATGACACATGCTCACTAATAATTGATAGACAGACCCCAGATAGATAGTAATAATTTTCTTAATTCGGTAGTGAATATTACATCCATACAGTCTTCTAGAATATATCTTTAAGAGGGCAAGGTATTTAAAAGTATATTTATCTCTTTCAGATATGAAGCTCAAGTGCCAAGTTCAAAGGCAAAGAAACCAAAAGTTAAAAAAAATAAAAATGTAGAAGGTAACCTGAAATATTGTCAATAAAACCTACTTTGTCCTATATGTGCCACACCCTTTTTTGGGGATTATTTTATTTTTTATTAATATTAGCATATCTGTTTGAATTTTAATGTGTATTACTACCTTTACTTGACAGAAATGACAATTTTTGTAATTTATATTCTAAATTGCCAGACTGCATAAAGGTCCCTGGTTTACAAACGATTTTAAGTGAAGTTGTCTGAAAGGGACAAGTTGGGGGTTGATTTGAGTCTTGAAAATATGTAAATAGTATTCAAAGTACTAGAAATGTATGCAAATTGAATGATTTCTTCAAAAATATCTTAAACTAGGAATTTTACTAATTCTATATATATATGTCTTTTCTATAAATCACAGAGTATCTTAAAATTCTGGACACACGTGGATTTGAAGGCTCAAATTTCGACGGTGAGCTGTGAACACTATTATTGAATGGCTTAGCTTAGAAAATTGTTTCTGAGACTAAAGTATGATTGGTCAAAAAGAATTACTCACCTGTCCCTTCAAGTAATGTATTCCACATTGAGATATACCAGATTTTTTAAGAAACCTTGTCTTTTGACTTTTCAAGCTAAAAGTAAAAGGATTATTTCTATTACCTTTCATACAGGAGGCGAGCCAAGTTTTAGACCCAAACCATATAAACCAAAAAAGACTGGGTCTCCTGTAGCAGACCATGGTCAAAGACATGCCACTGGACAGTACTTTCCACAAGATCATCAAAGTGAGCAGGACTTATCCATGAGAAGGTCCTCATTTGCTCCACGAATTTCTCCCTCTCGGCTTACATCTCAAGTAGTATCAGCTCTTCCTCCTGAAGAAAGTTTTTCCACATCTAAACTTCATTCAGCTCTCACTGGAAAACTTCAACCACATCCAACACTACGGGACACAACACAGTCTTCACCAGTCAGAGTTCCTTCCCCTGCTAGACACCCATCTCCAGGCAGCGTCAACAGAAGCACTCCACCAATGCAAGCTTTTTACCCCAATCCTTTGGGAATCAAGGTTTCAACAGATTATAATCCAGGAATGATAAGACTTTCTCCTCAGGGAAGATTTTCACCCAAACCCCAAAAACTCCCACAAAATCTGCCACATTTGTCTCCAAATTTCCCTACAACACCTCCAAGATCTGAGCATTTAAGAGAGTCACCTGGTCCTCCCAGAATGTCTGGACCATATGTGAGACCAGAACAGCATGTGCAGCCTTTCAGGTACACTGAAGACCTACCTGTACCTTCAGTCAAAACATCAACATCAAATTTTAGGATCACTTCTTCTGAGCCTGATAGCTTACCAAGACATTCAATTCCATCAAATCTACAGCATCTGGTCATGGCTATGGAGAGGGAAAAGGAGCAAGAATTGAGAGAAAGCTCTCAATATGGGAGTACAAGTATTCCATTTACTAGCAGAGAATACCCAACTGAACATAAACTGACTGAAAGATTACTGAGACAACAGGGTGTAGAAGAGGGCAGGCATCTTGAAAGGATTTATATGGGAGCAGTCCATCAGGGCCATTCTCCTAGCTCATCACACATAAGGAGTTCATCTCCTATGAAAGATAGAACATCTCCTGTTCCAGAAAGAACATCTCCGGCACCTCATCCAAAGAAAGACTTCCAAAGAAGAGCGACCCCACCACCACCTCCTAAAATGGCTTCTCCACCAATGTCCACTGGGGTTCCCAGTTCTTATCTGGTTCATCATCCACCATTGAATGTAACATTGAGTCCATCATCTGTTCCTCCTATAGATTTATCAATGCTTCCTTTGAAACACAAAGCAAGAAGACTAGAACATAGCTCATCACCAGCAACATCATCGTCATTGTCAACGATCCCCCAACCAGTTGGTCAACATACTTCATTTTCTTATTCTGAATCGCCACATCACTCTACTAGTGTGCCACAGTCGCAGTTATCTTCCATGATAGCTCAACCAATGGTTCAACAGATTCCTGCATCATCAGCTCAGCATCAACCACCACCTAATGTAACAGCTCCAATGGGAATTCCTACCATGTTGCTGCAGACTCAACTGAATCTTCCCAAGATTGAAGCTCATGGTGGAGTCATCAGGATACCTGAAGGTAAACTGGATGCTTCTACTCAAGAAATGTTATCCAGGGCCATCAATTTTCCACCAGGATTGTCTGAACAGATTTCAATAGTGGCTGATATTAAGAAAGATGTAGTGAAATCTGAGCCTCAACACCATGCACCAGCACCTGTTAAACCTCCACAAAACATCAATCCTTTCACGTTCCCTAAATCTGGAATTAAGCTCTCCCCAATCCCTAACATCCCTTCATTTGGGACTGAAATTGAAGAAGCCATGGGTACCCCTCCAACTGCTACCTACCCTAGATCAAGGTCTGATATCAGCCACTTGAGGCGGCATGAGGATGTTAAGATAGAAGGTGGAATGCCCAGGTTGATGCCAGAGGATCCAGAGAAGAATTTAACGACTCCAGAAAAAAAATATGGGGATTATCAGGCTATAGAAGAAGAAAGCAAGAAATTGACTCCGTGGGTGAGTGAACCTTTAACTCTTAAAGGGATTGTGAATTGTTTATGTGTATGTGTATCAAAACACTGATGACACTGGTGTGGCGCCAGGCAAGGTGTGCTTCTAGACACCTGATGCCACTTTTCATGTGAAAAGTTCATTACCTGCTACCAATATTTGGTCAATATGTTGTTACAGATTTCAGGTTACCTTTTGCGGTTTCAGATTGTTAGTACTTTATCGGTATATTTATGGCAACGATTTGCACCATATTAATTTGATGTCATACCTCTTTACAATCATTTTATGGAAACCATGGACACCATAAGCTACCAAATGATTGACTTTGTTTGGGTTTAGATTCTCACATTCAAAATTTATAGTTGTTTTTTTTTCCTTGTGTTTTTCATTGATTTTGTTGTATTTTGAGACTAATGAATAACAGTTTTGATACATACCGATTATCTTAGTGATAGCTATAACACTACTCTATTGTATTACAGGTTGGACAATTCAATATGAGATTGAAGAATTTAGCAAACTTCCCAGTCAGTACTTCAACATATAGATCAGCCTATAGAGCACAATCAGTAGCTGTACAGAGAGCAAAGTAAGTTAATTATCGAATCTTTATTTGTCTCTGAAAAATCATCTTGTCCTTCAAATGGGCCCTTTTTAAGCTCTGTTCTGAAGTGAAATAAATGGAAAAATTTGATTTTGATAAACACGAAAACTCTCCTGAAAAGAAAGTGTTTAAGCTGATGCAATATTTTTCTGACCGCAAACAGATTTTATGAGTAAAGTATGACCTCTTTTATGGAATAGCTAGGATTGATCGTATTGATTTGTGTTCATTATGTCGTTCTGGAAATGTTTTATGATCAATTTTAGAGCGTGTTCTATAACAGGAGCAGGTAAATCTCTGGATCTGTTAAGACAAACTTTACAGAAAAGTATGAACAAAGAACTTGATGAAGTCATTCAAAAATATGTAGAGGTAATATATTTTGCTCTTTATGTAAGTATTGCGGCAAGATTGTATTTAGCATTTTACATATATATCTTCAATTTCAAATGTCATCTCAATTTGGAGCAGAAAAATAAGATATTTAACTCAATTTTTTTTTTTCAATTTCCAACCATGTTAAATCAGCCACCGTAACAAGTAGCATTGTTACTTAAGTTTTAGAAAATCTTGTTCAAACAAATTTCTATTTTTATTTTTTTCTTATTATTTGTAGAAATTTTTTAAAGTTGGTATAGCCAATATTAAAGAGAATACAGGACCAACTTCAGTTACAGATGAACATCTTAATTCTGTCAGACGACAAATTCTAGAGGAGGTCAGTTAGTTTTATTTATTTCATAGCAATCAACTGAAATCAAGTAATATTTAGTGTTGTTAATTTTGGTAACTTGATTGATTGTTATGAAGGTAATCCTGTGGTTCTTAGGTTTATTCACATTACACACTGATTTCCATTGATAACAAAAAAATTCATGTTTTTAGGCTAAGAAGATGTATATTGTAGAAACTAGGCGTAGTGTATCACCTAGTCGAGATTATCCAGACAATATATCAGATACTGGTAGCAATAGTGGTAAAAGAGTAAGTTTCCACTTTCCAGTCTTTGAATACTTAAATTGATATACCAGGCCACGTATACTCAAAATAATCTTAACTCTAGAATGTCCTAGGTTCATATCTTGTAACATTTATTCTAGGGGACATCCTAGCTTTAAGATTGTTTTGAGAATACGTGGCCATTATTATTATTAATCAACGATGAAACTAGAGTCTTACTCAACCATTTCTTATTGTGGATATCTTAGAGTTAATTGAAACCTACAGACCTATAGATCATTTTCAATTTCTCTTCTCCCCAATACTATGGATCATAAAAGTAAGCTGTAAAACTCCATTCCATTCTTACATTCTTGTCTCAGTCATCATTTTACTTTAAACAGATGAATTGGTGTAATTATACGCCCACATCTCTCTATGTGGACGTATATTGTCAGCACCCCCGTCCGTTCGTCCGTCAACATTTGGTTGTAAACGCTCTAAAAACTAGATTTTTTGATGGAATCAAATGAAATTTGGTATGTGTGTACATATTCATAAAACGAAGATCAAGTTCGAATTTGAGCTATTTTCGACAGTTAGAAGCAGAGTTAATGCCCTTGCTCCAAAATCTTGAATATTTACCATCGACATGCCGTGGTGGGCGTATATGGCTCTGGTCCACTATCTTTTTAATTTATTTTTGACCCTATAGGGATTGATAAAGAAGAGAAGATTTTCTGATAGTGATAGTGAAAAGGGAATTGATATAGGAGTTGTTAAGAAAGTAAAGGTAAAGTCTAGTTATGTGCAAATGATATTACTAATGTATATATTCTACAACAGACTGTGTAGGTTAACCATTTTCTATAACAGAGAGTATGTATTCAGACATTGATGTTGATGAGCTCAAATCAGATGGTAAAACTCAGTAGTATATCATGAGTATAGCTATATTACTAATCTTTGGTTTAAATTAATTTATATTTCAGAAAAAGGGTAGGGCTTTTGCTTCAGGGTAAGTAGTCAAGTTTAATTCAATCAGGTCCCTTTTTATTTTAATTATTTGAGTAGTTTGTCAATTTTAAATGCTCAGGAGTGAGTCTAACACAAAGTAGGGATAGCATTATTTGGCAGGGAGAAAAGCAAACCCTCAAAAACTCTTTTTATTTCATTTCTCAAATTTCAGGAGTTCTACACCGTCTAAGATAAAAACTGTTGATAGTGTAAGAAGAGAGGGACCTAAGGTAGGAATCATTCATTTTGTTCGAAATTCCCGTCCTGCTTGATTATTCAGAAGAAGAAAATTAAGCTTTAGGCTCTGTAAAGATCTTAGATTTGATAGCCTTGAACAAATAATTGAAATGACTTAAATGCAATTGCTAGTTATCAACTATAGTTATTTAGTTATATTCTATATACTTCATTAGTGTAGACTTTAAAAATGGCTATTGGCAGTTAATGTTCACTACTTTACTAAGCAGTTGAAAGTATATTATTATCTCACAATTTCTATGTCAGTATACATGTGCACAATTGGTGGTAATGTACATTTATCATAATATCAGCATGTATCTGAGTAATGTAAGTTTAAATCTTTCTATTGTAGTGGGATCCAGAGAGACTAGCATTAGATACATTGTTTGTTATGGGGGCAAGAGCAAATAAGTAAGTTGATATTATTTTAGATAAATGAAGCCTTTGTTTCAATTTTATCATTTGTAGAATAAAATGTTTTGATCAGTAATCATATTGGACATGTGAAAATACCAATCACTTCTCAGGACCATGTCAGGTAATTCTGCAAGTGAGATTGTCAATGCAGCATAATATCCAGAAAGTCCCCATGATTAATACTGTTAATATTTGACAAGAAAATTCCAGCCTGATTGTACTTCGTACATTCATTTCTTAACAATTTGAACCTATATGTTTGTTATATTTATGATTTCATATTACCTATTATAAAAAGATATAAAGATTTGAATCTGTGTTATTATTTTTAGAGCATTAGGATTAGGTAATACTAGAGGAAGATTGTACATTAAACATCCTGATGTATTTAAGGTCAGTATTCACAGGCATCTGTTTCTGTGTCAGTATTACTACTTTTGTATATTTTTGCTATTTTTGTATAACATAAAAGAGTTTGTAGAAGAATATATTATATCTGACATTTATATGAATAAGAGATGTCTGAAGATCAAAATCACAACAGCACATTTGATGGCATGTTATGTCCTTCTCTTTTTGCACCTATTAATTTGCAAATTTAGCTCATCAGTCTTTGTTTGAGGTGTACATGAAAGGATGAGTATTATATACACAATTATACAGTATGTGTATTCATCTTCTGTTTTGATACCAGTATTCAGGAGATCAAGATGATAAACAATGGTTATACGAACATCATCTGATGCCAGCTACTGGTGGGAAAGCTTACATGTTGATTGTGGAGGATATAAAAGATCTAGCTGAAACTGATGAATATAGGTAAGTGAATGCAGTTCTACTTCCTACTATCTGCACTCTCTAAGTACAAAGAAGAGATGCAACACTATAGCACAATTTCACAAATACATAAGCTGAATTATGAACCTGTTCAAGCCAAAAGTTGAGAACAGTGGAGATAATTTTTCTGTAGCAAGTTATATGTTAACAGACTCATCCAAAAAGAGGCTTTCCAAATTATATGCTCTGGCCTTTATCAGTGATGGTTTGGTTCTGACATGAATATCTATTCCTATGTTTTCCAGGGACGGAGCGTTATTGATGCATGAATTAAATGGATTCGCTGTACCAGAATGGATGATTAGTAAGATGAAGCTACAGATGCAATCTTTAAGAACTGATAAAGGGAGAACATCAGCTCCAATAGTTCACAGTAGATCTGCTACTCCTAGTGAAACGTCTGTTTCTTCAGTCAAGGTTAGTGATCAGTAAATTCCTGATCAAAAGTAAGGCCCGTAAAAAGTAATTCGAAGTTATTTAATTCAAACTGTTGTCTACCAAATACCAAACTGTTTGTGGTACCAGTAAGTGTGATATATGTGTAAAATCCATATCCCTTAGTCTCTGATCTGAAATCTTACCAGATAGTAACCAGAAAGATATTCAGATCTGCTACAATTTATCAAATGTCAATATCAGTCCATTATATCAGGTAAAGTATTTGTTTAGCTCAATGTTTCTATGTGTCATGAGTGATATTTATGAAGTATGTATGAAATATAAGCAATATATTTTGTAGGATTATGATGGTGAAGACAGTTCTAAAACTTTACCATTCTCTGGTTTTTCTGACAGTCCATTAACTATTAATCCTAAAACAGAGGTAGGTGTTAGCATATATACTGTATATCAAAATAGTATTTATTTCAAATATCAATAGTCTCAGAAGAAGCAATTAAAACTGAAACTATAAAATTCATTTCCAAAGAAAACTTTCAAAAAACTTTATCTCCAAATTTCTGAAGGATTGTTTTTAAGGGAATATAGCTTACTTTGTCTTATTATACTGAAAGACAAAAAATAGCATTCTTAGTATCATTATTTTGAAATGGTTATATATATAAGTAAATGTAATTTTGAATACAGCTGCAACTGGGTGTGGAATATTTCTCATAGGTTCAAACTTATTTTATTAATTATTTCAGAATGAAAATACATCCATGGATGCAGAGATGGAGTTTTTATCAGGAACAGATATTGGTAGTGGGAACATGTCTCCTTTCAATTTAACTGGAGGATTTGATGATACAGCTTCACCTTCTCCTAGCGATATTGATAATTTAGATGAGGATCCTTCTTATACAACTCCTTTTGGTCTGTCTAAATCATGATCTGACTGAGGATCTTTCTTATACCACAGCTTTTTGTCTGTCTAAATCATGATTTAACTGAGGATCTGTCTTATACAACTGCTTTTGGTCTGTCTAAATCATGAACTGACTGAGGATCTGTCTTATACAACAGCTTTTTGTCTGTCTAAATCATGATTTAACTGAGGATCTGTCTTATACAACTGCTTTTGGTCTGTCTAAATCATGATTTAACTGAGGATTTTTCTTATACCACATCTTTTGATCTGTCTAAATCATGATCTAACTGATCTTATATGATGTCTTTTATGTTTTCTAAATCATGATTTAACTGAGGATCTTTCTTATACAACTGCTTTTGGTCTGTCTAAATCATGATTTAACTGAGGATCTTTCTTATACAACTGCTTTTGGTCTGTCTAAATCATGATTTAACTGAGGATCTGTCTTATACAACTGCTTTTGGTCTGTCTAAATCATGAACTGACTGAGGATCTTTCTTATACCACAGCTTTTTGTCTGTCTAAATCATGATTTAACTGAGGATCTGTCTTATACAACTGCTTTTGGTCTGTCTAAATCATGATTTAACTGAGGATCTTTCTTATTCCACATCTTTTGATCTGTCTAAATCATGATCTAACTGATCTTATATGATGTCTTTTATGTTTTCTAAATCATGATTTAGACAGACCCTTCTTTTGCTGTCTTAATCATGATTCACCATCTCCTAGTGATGTTGATAATTGAGATGATAATCCTTCTAATACAACTTCTTTTGGTCTGTCTAAATCATGATTTAGACATTGATTCTTCATCAAGATGTAATGCTTGTCGTGGTAACTTTAACTTTCTTTGTGAATGATTATTTTTTTAATACAAGACATTGTTTTGAATACTGAATAAGAGTGCTTGAAAACATAATTGATTTATGTTACATTAATGTTATCATTATCGGGAAGTTGCAATAGTTAAGTTTTCTATTTTGTATATGTACTTTAATCTTTTGTAAAGGTCTACTTAACCCTTTTATATCAATATTCTGGTAGAAATTTAATGATGCATGTTTTCTACTTTAAAAGGAGGAGAAGTGGTTTAATATTTGCATATGTTTTTGTTATTGTTATGTATTTTGAGCGCTTGAATGCTTGGTTACCAACATGGGGATACTGGTAATTCCTAAGGGTAATTCCTTGTGAATTTTAAATAAAAGTTTTTAATTACATCAGCATTCGATTCAAAAGTCAACTGTGGAAACAAATCATAACTTTTTGGGAATCTCAGTTTGCCTATGATGATTGCCTATTAGAGGGTACCAAGTGTTTTTTGTATTTATAGATTGAGATTTCTCAGATGTATATTAATATCTTTGAACAGATATATATTGTTAATATTATGTATATTGTTAACGTTATGTATATTCTTAATGTTATGTATATTCTTAATGTTATGTATATTGTTAATGTTATGTTATGTTATGTATTATACTTGTAGTGTTTTAAAGGTATGTAGTGCTGTAAGCTTACTAGCTTAGTACTTTCTGTTGTAAATCAAATTTCACTGATTATTTTTAAGTGAATATCAATTTCGTAACAGCACTGATAATCCTATAATGACTTTGTTATGAAAAAATATAATCATGGGCACATGTTTTCATGTAAAATATTTGTTTTTACCAAGTGCGATTTTCATTCAAAATTTCGATAATTTTGGTTAAAATTTTGAAGGTTACATGGTTTTGTGCCTGAAAGATCAAACAAAACTTTTTTGCTCTTATAAATTTATTATCATTATCATTATTACTATTATCATGATGTTAATCTTTTGCTCATTCACTGTAATTTTTGTCGGTTAATTTAAACAGGAAAGTGCTGGCAGCCAAGTTGCCAAACTATTAATGTTGAAACGTTAGCATTAATACCGAGCTTTCCAATGATATTTGATTATTTTTGCATTCAAGACACGAACGGGATGCGGAGCTTAGAAACCCTATGGCAAATGGAATCGGATGTTCTGCAAGGGCGAATCTGCTCTACATACTAAGTCTCGCACGAATCCTCGTCCAATCGAATTTATGCTGATGCCCAACTTGGCTCAAAACTAGAAAGAATATTAGTGAAACTTAAATAGCATCAATACTATTTATTGTAGTAATATCAGTATCTGTAAATGAAAAATATTACAAGCTTTTAAAGGAATATTACTTCGAAGATCAAACATAATTTAAATTCTCAAACCTGACCAATAAAATTATATTTAATAGATTTATTGGGATAATAGAGCTATTCTGAATAAACATGATGTATACTTTTTTGGCCAAGTTTGCGAACTTCAATATAATATTCATCCTAAATTTCATTTGCCGAGTCCTTTTGGGTCAACGTCGAATATTTAATTTTATAAGAACATTTTCACTCAATCTACTAAAACAGACACGTACACGTTTACTGAACACTAAATACCACAGTGGATATATCGGGGCATTCATATAGAATAATAACCTACAAAACAACAGAGTTATTACCCTTGTTTTAGAGTTCATCCTAGTTAAGGCCCCTGGCGTAGAACACACAACTAAAGGCATCGAACATAGTATGAAGGCCACAAGCATCACGAGACTATTTCGTGTAGCACTACTCAAACTTACTCTATCTCGTTTTAAATTCTGCTTTTTCAAAATAAAATTATTTTTCAACATTTGATAACGATCGAGATCAGCACCCATAGATATATCAGTAAAATCAGGTACTTCCGATTTGGTCGAAGCCGTGCTTCCAGTACTTAAGGTTTTGCGTAGATTTCGTTTATCTTGATAATGCTTGCGTATTTTTGTGGCTAACATGGGGTTTTCTAAGGCAATAATGTCTTCAAAGGCAAGAGATTGGTCACATTTTTGATAATGGACAATTGTATCTTCACACGCATGCGTGCCGGAAATGGTATATGGACTAGGGTTGTTGTCAACTGGCTGGTTTGATTTGTTGGCCCGATGTGGCACGTCCCTGGTTTCATTTTGGACGGAATTTTCAGCAGGATGATCCTGAATCCAAGGCTTTATCCGATTTTTGGCAAATTTAACAGTAATGTTTAAAGTTTTACAAATTCTATAATACGATGACATTATGATGACCAACTGTAGTATAAAAACCGTTAAAAATATAAAAATGATTATAAGTTGTTCAGGAGTTGTCCTCTTATAACGCCCTAGATGATAATCCACGCGAAATGGATCCATGGTATCGACTAAATACGTCGAACTCTGAACAAACGACAAGCTGCAGGTCATACTGATTAACAAAGACACTATCCAGTTTCCGGTGATGCACCGTGATACGATTTGGCGCCTTTTTCGTAACGACAACCCTGGCCGTCTGATCGTTCTCTGTCTGTAGAAACCAATAGAAGCAAACGTTCCCCAATACTGTATCAAACTATTGAACACCACAAATAACTGCACTCCGCTCAATAAATCCGATTTCTCCTTATCGATTTTAAGGGAATTCACGTTGATACAAACAAGAGAAAACAGCATTCCAATACACGTCAATACATTATTAGCACATATATTCATTAAATGACTATTAGGTGGTGTACGGAGACTGGGCGAAGATTTGATTATGACAATCAGTAGCGAGTTAATGACCACACTAGTTATTATATTAGCAATAAGATATACCATTGTGGCTATAACAAATGGAAAAGGCATCTGCCAGTGTGGTAAAGCTGATGAGTTCATTATTGTACTGTTCTCCATTATGCAGCTCTCCGATGAAACACATTTTGAAATATCATATTATTTCTAGACATATCCACCTGATGACAGTATCACGGTTTGAAGCATATGCTTTCTGGACCATGTCATCACTAGGTCATGTTGCTTTTAGTAAATTTGAAACCAATTCCTACAGGTTTTACGTATCCCAAATCTTTTCAAATGTTGTATACTATATCCAACGATAATTTTGTTGTTTTGTGGACTTATTGACGATTGGAAACCAGAGCTTTGAATTACTCCCGACATGCAATACTGATAACATTTTCACTTAAATCCATATCCATTATCTATACAGTAGTACATAGGCAGGGCGCAAAACAATGTGCTGAGGGAACACTTTCAACGTTTACGGAAATCTTCGATGAAGACAATCCTAAAAGATAAAAAAAAAACATGAAACCAAATACTGAATTCAAACTAAAAAAAGGTCACAATTAAATATCAATTTGAACACAGAGCTTATCATTGTGCCCATTGTAGTTGTGAGTAGCTATTTCATATTTTCGGACCATATCGTAGCGTTAATACTGAAAGCACTGGCAAAGATGAGAAAAACAAATATGAACCACGAAGCACTTGTTAAAATGTTTGAATTATGGTGCCACCTGCGCAATAATTGGCTTTTAATAATTACCACACCACAATCTGATAATTGCATTGTTTGTATCATCCAGACTCTTATTTATTATGACAATAGTTCTGATTGAAGGTAATTTACTGTCGAGATCACTGTTTATCAGATCACACTATCCAGTGTAGGCTTATTGTGTTTCATACATAATTAAAACTAAACCTACGCGTAATATTTATAATCATACAGCATTTTTTATAACGTTACATTTCCTAGACACGATGTTAGTTACAGTTACTTCTGTGAGACTCTGTACATAATCAATATCTAGACTCATAAAATATATATTTTGAGCCCCAAACCACCTTCGATTCGATTCCTTTACATTTATAGTTGGGAAAGACATTTCTTTAAGAATCATATCATTTATATGTATTGTGCATAGAATGATTTGTTCATCAGTCTACGTATTATATTTTCATACAACATTTTTATATCTGAACTTCAAAAATATATTTTGAGTCACATATCACCCTCAACGATTCGATTCCTTTACATTTATTGCTGTGCATATGCATTATTATAATCAAGCCCACTCATAATTTCATCGCAATATTTTAAGTTTCTATATATTAGGAAACTTTTCGACGCGATATCAGCTACAGTCACTTCCGTATAACTCAGTACCGGAAGTTACGGAGTAATCAATCGGAACAAATGATGTTTTGTCTCATAAACAATCCATTGAGATAAAACCCCGCCCGTGGACAAGTCAATGAATTAATCGGTAATTCAGTCACGCGGTTTAAATGTTCTAGTGATCAATATTATCTATATAAATATACACGATGACTCCAATTTTTGTACTCTTATATACTTTTTTCATTACTTTTTAATTACTTCCAACTATAAAAGCTTTCAAACTATATCATAACACGAAAGCTTAGTATGTAATTAAAACTTCATGGAAATATCAAAGAAGATTGAATGTAATTATAGAAGAAAACATTTTTTACAAGGCTATCAAAGTAAATCAAATTAGATTCTCTCCAATATTGTCTATAAGCTAGTCCAAGGTTTATCATTAAAGAAAATTGTGATATCCTGTTCAACTAGCTAGTAGATATCCTGTTCAACTAGCTAGCAGATATCGTGTCTAACTAGCTAGCAGATATCGTGTTCAACTAGCTAGCAGATATCGTGTTCAACTAGCTAGCAGATATCGTGTCTAACTTGCTAGATGATATCGTGTTCAACTAGCTAGCAGATATCGTGTTCAACTAGCTAGCAGATATCGTGTTCAACTAGCTAGCAGATATCGTGTTCAACTAGCTAGCAGATATCGTGTTCAACTAGCTAGCAGATATCGTGTTCAACTAGCTAGCAGATATCATGTCTAAGTAGCTAGCTGATATCGTGTTCAACTAGCTGGCAGATATCGTGTCTAACTAGCTAGCTGATATCGTGTTCAACTAACTAGCGGATATCGTGTTCAACTAGCTAGCAGATATCGTGTTCAACTAGCTAGCAGATATCGTGTCTAACTAGCTAGCAGATATCGTGTTCAACTAGCTAGCAGATATCGTGTTCAACTAGCTAGCAGATATCGTGTTCAACTAGCTAGCAGATATCGTGTTTAACTAGCCAGCAGATATCGTGTTCAACTAGCTAGCAGATATCGTGTCTAACTAGCTAGCTGATATCGTGTTCAACTAGCAAGCAGATATCGTGTCTAACTAGCTAGCTGATATCGTGTTCAACTAGCTAGCAGATATCGTGTCTAACTAGCTAGTAGATATCGTGTTCAACTAGCTAGCAGATATAGTGTTCAACTAGCTAGCAGATATTGTGTCTAACTATATAGCAGACATCGTGTCTAATTATCATGTCTGCAAGCAGATATTGTGTCCAACGAGCTAGGAGATATCGTGTTTAACTAGCTAGCAGATATCGTGTCTAACTAGCTAGCATATATCGTGTCTAACTAGCTAGCAGACACGGTGTCCAAATCTATATAAAATCGAATATGCTTTACGAACTTACAAGACATACCGATTTCCTGTTCCACGTACAATCATGATATCACACTGATATAAAGAATATAAGTTAAACTTCTCTTGTATTTATAATTTTAAACGTGCTTAAACTTACCAAAATACCGATTTTCTCCAAAATTCCTATGCAAAAACTATCCAGCTAATTTCCGTCTAATGCATTAGCCTCATACTTCTATCTGAAAACAGGCTTACATAATTCTGGAAGATTTCACCTTCTAAAAAATGAATTTCCATTACCATACGTTTGTGTAGACAATTGCAGCGTCCTATACTGTAACACACCGCATTTCAATCTAACTCAGGTGCTACTAATTCTAACGTTTATAAACAAAAGGTGATAAGAAACTTGGGTTTTAAATCATCGATAGTTTTATATTGATTTTTGCTTATGAAGATTACAGTAGCCTACTTATCTTATTCACATTTTCCATCATATTGTTCTTACCGTAGTGTTGTTCTCTTGTCACTGTTTTTAATATACTTTATCTATATTCATTTATTAGAAATATCAAACAGTGTCCACCTTTCAACACATTACATGTATTATCAACAACGCGTGCTCAGGTAATAAACAATATTCTTATATGGCATTCTGTCTGACATATGGGTTGGGTAAATATGCCTTCAGAGCCTGAGCAACATGAGTTGGCTACTTATTGGACGTTCGGTAATCCTCGACATGTTGCAGTGCGCGGTAGACCGTTTTCTCACACGACAAGTTTTTTGTAATAGGAACCATTTTCCGAATAGGTGAAGTGTTACGAGCCGAAAAATTGGTACCGGAACCATACATCTTTTAAATCAGATATTTGTAAAGTATGTCTCTGTCTGCGGTAAGGGACTTCGATAGTTAGTTCTTTTAAAAAAAAAAAAATAACGTGTTGCGCAAAATTGAAAGCAGTAATCAGACCAATATTGGCAGCATTTGTAATACATGTTTGGGACAATTGGCAGTGTGGCTTTTCAGCCCACCTGTCGTCTGCTAATACACAGGACCTATATCGATCTGATCTAAAATATGTCCATCCAAGTCCTGCTCACGGCTGTCCACGATGGCCATGGACACATCCAGCCTTTCGGAAAACCAAAATAGTTTTTGTTACGCTTGTTGACCTAACAGCGCTGGTAGTCGGAATGATTCCCTGTTAGTTCCCATGAGAATTACGTAAATATTCAGTGTATGTCAGGTTGTTTGGAGGGCACCCCATTTGCAGGTGTTTGTCAAGAGGTTGTTCAGCCCATTTTATTAGAATGGTTCAATGTATGGCTTCTTGTAGCATCATTCAAATTTTCCGTCAGATGTTTGTGATTCCTATAATTATAGAAATGATATATACACTAGTTTTGGTGGAATTGCATGTCCTATAGACATCGGACTGAAAATTGGAATGGTGCAAATATACACTACCAGTGCTCCTACATATAAATTTATATCATTTGGATCAGAGCCTTTGATGGACACGTTTATCTAGCTAGAATTTGGGGTTTTAATGATATTTGTATTTAAAAATGTGTGGACATGTTGAAAAAATGAATATTGAATATTATGTGAATGCATGTTACAATATATCATCTACTATATCATACTATCTGTAATCTACTGACAGCAATATGGTCCTATGCAAACAGACTATAAATTACGAGGGTAATAATTCATTTCTTGTTTATTGTAATCATTTTTATGACCATGAACTGATCGTGGACAAATTGACATGTCAAACTTTGTACAAATTCACCTTTTATAGATTATCTTTGCATCCTACAGAGCCCATAGCCAGTTAGTCATTTGAGTTTCTGGTCGCCTTGTGTCAGCTTGGTGTTCTGGTCGTTCAGACAAGAATTTTATAATATAAATAATAATTTTAATAGTAATTTCCAATAATTTACATAAAATCATTAACACAACAACACAATATTTGAAAAAAAAGAAAAGTATAGAACCAAATTACTTGTCAGTATAGAATTGCTATTCAGAATGGAAATTACTTGTCAAGTTAGAATAACCATTCAGAATGGAAATTACTTGTCAAGATAGAATTACTATTGAGAATGGTAATTACTTGTCAAGATAGAATTAGTATTCAGAATGGAAATTACTTGTCAAGATAGAATTACTATTCAGAATGGAAATTACTTGTCAGGGTAGAATTACCATTCAGAATGGAAATTACTATTCATGATAGAATTACTATTCACAATGGAAGTTACTTGTCAAGATAAAATTACTATTCAGAAAGGAAATTACTTGTCAAGATAGAATTACTATTGAGAATGGAAATTACTTGTCAGTATAGAATTACTATTCAGAATGGAAATTACTTGTCAGGGTAGAATAACCATTCAGAATGGAAATTACTATTCATGATAGAATAACTATTCAGAATGGAAGTTACTTGTCAAGATAAAATTACTATTCAGAAAGGAAATTAATTGAAAGGAAAGAATTACTATTCAGAATGGAAATTACTTGTCAGGTTAGAATAACCATTCAGAATGGAAGTTACTTGTCAAGATAAAATTACTATTCAGAAAGGAAATTACTTGTCAAGATAGAATTACTATTGAGAAAGGAAATAACTTGTCAGGATAGAATTACTATTCAGAATGGAAATAACTTGTCAGGATAGAATTACTATTCAGAATGGAAATTACTTGTCAGGATAGAATAACTATTCAGAATGGAAAGTACGTTTAGGATTGGAATTTTTTTTTTGGTAATGGAAATAAAGGAAAATCCCTCTCCCAAAGGAAAGGAAATGATTAGAAGAGTTGAGGATTACATTGTATATTTACAATCAATATAAATATGGACTGAGTGATAAATCAATACTTTAATCTGGACTGATGCCTTCAGGTTGTTTAATCAATTTACTTTCTTGTAAACAATTCTTCACAATTTTATCCTAATAGACTTTAAAGGGATATTACATCTTAGAATAAACATAAAATCTAAAAATTCTGTTGTAACTCTATGACACCAGGTAAGTTCACTGATGAATATATACTCATATTGACCATTCTTGAGAATTAAATTTCATGTTCATTCTAAGATGTAGTATCACTTTAAAGGGATTGAAAAGAGGTTTTCCAAAACTTCTGTGGTTCCTGCAATTCCACTAAAACAAAGTGTTTGATAATGTCATTAATCATATCAGGCCCTTATCGATTTGTGATGTCATCAAATATTTAGTTTTAATAGAATTGCAAGACCCACAGACGTCTGATTGAAAATTGGAAAGGTGCAAATTGGTACTATCACTGTCCCTGATACACATAAATATTTTAGATTTACTCTTTACAATCTCTTTACGGTTAAAAGCATTTAAATAGGCTCCTATTGATTGTGATTTTCCAATGTGATTCATACATAGTCTTCATTATGACAATTTTTGCAATTAATATGTTAAAGCATAATGCTATAGTTTATAGTGTATTTCAAATCTTCAATTCAATTCAATTTAATACTTTCATCAAGAATTATCAATATCTACATTAGACTGTTGTCAAGTTCAACAAGTTTTTCCAGTCAGTTATCACACTGTAATTATCTTAGAAGAAATCTTCACAATATACCAGATCTCAAACTTGATAGTCTCATTTTAGGCCTGAAAAATAATTTTTTAAAAGCATTAAGACATCTAAATTAAAGATTTTTCTAAAAATCAAGACAACTATGTCTGACAGACAAAAGCCAATAAAAATAATAAATTCTAGTTGTACAACGAATGATAGACCCACTGCAGTAACAGTATTATATATACCCTTATCAATAGGTTAAATAAGTTTTATATAAATGACTAGGCCTAACAATATCAATATTTCTATATTTAATGTAATATCTCGATTTTTTATAACAGTGAGATAGTTTTGTCATTTAGATTTCATGCATTTACATTAGGTATTGGATCTAAACCAACAAAATAATATTTTCTATAATCTTTAAAAGAGTTAATCTTTTCATCCATTGTTGAGATATATCAACCATATTTGTTGTAAAAACTACAAATAATATTAAAAAAGAAATTGCAATCCTAGTAAAATTTTAGCAATTGCAAGCAATAGCTCAGAAAAATCAAATATTTGGCTTGAAAATAAGAAAATCAATACAAAAAGCCTTCACTTTCTTTATTATAGAGTAGAAGATGAAAATTACATGATAGTGAAAATATGATTGTTAGAGTATTTTTGTTAGAAATTGTGATTAGATGTAGATAGTGATAAAAATGAAATGAAATGAGTTTTACATCCTACTCTTCTGAACCTAATTGGGCTCATGAACACAGACAATGCCATGCAGTGTGCAATGAGGGAAATTTAGCCAGGACAGCAGCATTAGCCTACTCTTTTTCAATTTCCAGCTGTCGAAGGATCTTTAACGTGCACAGCCTGTAGTACACATGTCCTCAAGAGGCTTCAGAAGATATCAGTATAAAGAAGAATCGTTTGTTTTGTTAGTCAGTGATAAAGTAAGGTGATATATTAAGATGGAAATATTTGTTAACAGTGTGAAATAAGCTAGTAATCTAGTAATATATTTAGTAATTGTTAGAGAAGATATGAATGGATAAATTACTTGATGGATGATTGTGTCTTTTATAAAATAAACTTGTTCCTGTTCTTGGCCTAACAGAGGGAAAATATTCACTATCAATAGTTTGTTCAGATTCAACAACTACATGCTCTGATTGAATTCAATAAATACACTCATGGGCTCTATTCATTAAACTGAACATAAAAATATTCTTCATGTGATTGGTCAATATTTAAAACTGATCTTAAATTTAGCTTGATTAACCAATCAGATTACAGTTTTTCATATAATTTGAAAGTTCAAATTAAGAGGATCCTCAATTCTGTCTAGGAAATCATTATGACAGCTTGCAATTGAAAGGGACATTCCACTTTTTTTGCTCAAATTCATGAAAACTATAAACCAAAATTTAGATGTGTAACGTATCTGACTTAAAAAAAAAGCTATTAGAAAACTACTGTATGGATTTGAGTAAAATAAACGCCTAATTGTAGAGAAATATGTCTTCTACATTTTCCAAAGTTTTTAACTGACAATATCAAGCTATTATAAAGCCAAATACCAAGACTAGGTCCAACTGCTTAATTAAATAGTAATCTCTGTTTTTTATCAACCCTTTCAAAACAATTTCAGTAGATACATATAAATAGCATACTTCAGAAATATTTTCAGGTATAATTTACAATGTTTCTGATAATGAATTTTTTTTTACAAAAAAAGCGAAATGCCTCTTCAACGATTTTACTCAGACATGACTGCTAAAATCATACAAATCAACATCCCTGGAAGATTGGATATTTTAAAGAAATACTGTACCTAGGTTGATTGGAGATTGATTTAGTTTGAGGAGCATTCGCAGCCTTCCATTGAGCTTCAATTCTACAGAATAATCCACCAGGATACTGAAAATAAATTGAAATGAAATAGATTGGAATGGAGTTTAATGTTCTATTTTTTCTTCTGTTATCAGAATAATGAAGAATCGAAACGGTGTATTTTAGCTTCTATAATCTCTTCAATCTATCACACATTTCTACTGTGTTTTACAATTTCAGCCACACCTCATATAAGTGACTGAGATATTGATTGATAAAGTGAACCGTGGTCGTATCTATTTATTTATAAGGGGTGTTGTTTTAATTAAGATGACTAGTTACTTACACTGACTTCTTTACGAGCTGGTTTCTCAGACTTATCAGTATTTAATCTTAACTTGGTTAAAAATAAACATATCTGTTTCATTCTTCTATGATCTGTTCAAAAAATAGAAATTTCATTTAACATCTTACTTTTCAGTTTCTGTATAGTTTAACATGACAGTTTTAAAGATAATATTGCAAATACTAAATAAATTTCCACAACCTTGTTCTCATATTTAATACCTTTATTTTAACCCTTTGAACACTAAGTGTGACTAAAATAAAACATCATATACCCTTCATTCTAACACCCTGAAAGTTTATATGGTTACTTAAAGTGTATGGTGTTAATGTTATGTGACTTTGCCTTGATAAAGGCCATTTCATTGGCTGCTTGAATATATATCATGTAATTATGTGGTAGATAGGCCACTAATATAGTTAAAAGGGTTAAATACAAAGACATATATTGACTGACATAGTATCAGACTTACCTTCTTGTCTTTGAGCATCCTGATTAAATCTTGTAGATCTTCCAGAATCCCAGGTTGATTTCTTGTTTTGTCTATAATACAAGTTATAACACAAATCAAAAACAGATTCAAAAGATACAGAGACACTCAGTTTGTTTTTAATAGTGAGGCTTTTGACTGTCAGAACACATCCAATTGAAATGATATTTGTGATATCTCTTTCTTATTCTGAAACTGAACTTCAGAGCAAT